TGGTCCTTTGTGACAGCATAATGGTTTCAAGGTTCATTCATGTTACAGCATGTATCAGCATGTTCATTCTCTTTTGTGGCTGAATAATGTTCCAACATACAGAGAGAATACTCTCTGTTGTATGAACAGATCACATTTTGTTCATCCATTCATTCTTTCATGGACCTTTGAAAAAATGAAAAATTCTGCTRTAAATATGGATATATATGGTTTTTTTAGTTTTATTGATTTTATTTTTTTAAATACATGACTGCAGAATGCATTACAGTTCTTATTTCACATATAGAGTACAATGATTTATAGGTTTTGATATGAACATACATGTCCATATTTTTTGGTATATACCTTAGAGTTAAATTATTGGTTGTAAGGTAACTCTATGTTTAGCCATCTGGGGAATTACTGGAATGCATTCCYAAATGACCATGCTTTTACATTCTCATCAGAAATAAATGAGGTTTCCAAACTCTCCACATCTTCCCCAAATGTTATTATCTTTTTGATTACAGCTGTCCTATTGGGTACTAGATAGYATTGTAGTTTTGATTTGTATTCCTCAGTGGTTATTGATGCTGCTTATTAGCCATTTGTAAATCTTCTTGGAAGAAATGTCTAGTCATATTCCTTTTGCATTTTAAAAATGTGTCACTTGTCCTATTATTAAATCAGAAAAGTTCTTTATATGTTGTAGGTCTAACTACATGTGTTTCAGATATATGATTTACAAATTTTTTTTCCCATTCTGTCAACTATCTTTTTTTCATTCTTTCTCTCTCTCGCTTTCTCTCTTTTTTGGAGGGGTGGGGATTTAACCAAGGGGTGTTCTACCAGCCCTTTTCTATTTTTATTTTGAGACAGGAACTCACTAAGTTGCTAATGCTGGCCTTGTATTTGTAATTMTCCTGCTTTAGTCTCTGGAGTCATTGGGATTATAGGTATGCACCCCTTGCCCAGCTTGAGTTAATCCTTATGAATGGCATGAGGTAGGCTCCAACTTAATTCTTATACATGTGGCCATCCAGTTGTCCCAGCACCATTTGTGGAAAAGACTATTCTTTCCTTTATTGAATTATACTGTCATCCTTACTCAAAAACAATTGACCAAGAGATGATTTCCATCAAGAATCATGAACTGTTGCTGGCCKGTTTTCCAGTGAAAATTATAAAAAACAAACAACCACTAAGACTCTGGAAATAGTCCTAAAAAAGACTAAGCAAAAGAAAAAGCATCTACTCAAGAAAATATCTACGCAAACTCAGTAAAGAAGGTCAAGACTACTCCCTCTCTCCTCCCTTCTAGTTTAATGAGGTGGAGACTCCATTGGGGACTGCTGCAGTCAAGAGCACAGGGCTCCCTTTGCTCCTAACTCCTAGCTTCAGGGCTTTCTTTCTAGTGGGAGCAGGACTACAACATTTTGAATCTTGTTGTAGCCACTGTTGCTAAGACCAAGTCCCAGATGACTTGTGGCATAGTAGTTCAATCTTGGATGAGGTATAATGAGAATACTAGGGCCCCAGTGGCTTCTGCAGCAGCTAGTGAGGCAGAGATTCCATTCATGAGAGGCAAGGCAAGATGACCTAAGACTGCCACACTTCCCCCACCATTCAGCATCCACAGTAGAGGTGCCACTCAGAGAGAAGCTTGCCATTGCTCTACTCCCAGACCCACAGCCCTGGCTCAGAGGTTTTGCTTGGATGGAGGGTTTGCTGGGAGAAGCAAGTCATAAAATGATAGTTCACCATCTCTTCCTAAAAGAACTAACTTCATTTGCAACAGAGCATGGAGAAGTTCAAGCCTAAGTGCATTCTCAAAAATGGCAGAAACTGCAGTAAAAGGCAATTGGGAGCACAGTCAGGCCAGTGAGTTTATAGAAGAGAACAAAGGAATAATATATCTAGGAGCCATGCTGGAGTTAGAACAACTATCCAATGGACCACAAAAACTATTCCTACGCCAAGTATTTAGTAGTGGCGATGTACCAATAAATTTTTTCCAGAGAAACAGAATTACTAGGCTTTACTAGGATATATGTAGGAAAGCTAGCAGCAGGCTTCTGATGGTGTAATACAAAGGCAGACTGTCTTCCTCAGGGAATTCTGGTTTTGCTCATAAGGCATTTCACTGATTGGATGAGGTCCAACCAAAATAACTCCTTAAAAAAATTAAAAAAAAATAAATTCAAAAAAAGATAATATGCTGTCCATAGGGTGATTATGAGAATAAAATATACATGAAAAGCAAAAAAAAAAGAGTGAAACTCCTGTACATACAGGCAGCTGATCGTAGATGTCAACATCTATAAATTATCCTCATGGTTGTACCTCTTAATTATTCTATAGATTGTGTTGTATGCATTCCCACTACTGTGAAATCTCTCAGTGACAAACTGACAGAGGTATTCCTTTTTTCCCTTTGTGATATCCCTGAGTTATAGAACATTTCATGTTTTAGGATAACTGGCATTTATCTACTTTTTTTTTGTACTTCTTGTGGAAGCTAATGTTCAATCTTTCAAAGTACTCCCAGCAGCACCAGACATATAGAAACTATTCTGAATAATTAAAAATAAATAAATATTTACAGTTATTTGCAAAACAGAAAAAAAAAACTATTCCTTTGAAGGAGTAAGAATTTGATTAGTTTGTACAGCAACTTATGCCTTGGGGCATTGTTGAAAACAACTGTCAGCTATCAATTTGTGGAATTTCACAGCTGGATGGTCAGTGTGAGAAAGGAACAGAGCCCCACCAAAACTACCATCATCCAAGGGTGACTGGGCATATTGAAGCACATGTGTCCTTGAGGAGCATCATCAGAAGCTTAACACTGTTGAAGGTAATGAGACTTCACTAAAACAATCCAGCCAGCCACTGAACAAATTAAAAAAAAATAAATAACAATAACAGGAAGGGAAAGGGAGAATAGAACCCAGCATTGCTAATATATTATCTAAAATGTCTAGTTTCCAACAAAAACTATGAGTGTGGAGGATGGGGATGTATGTAGCTCAGTGGTAGAGTCTTTGCCTAGCATGTGTGAGGCCCTGGGTTCAAACCCCAGCACTGCCAAAAGACAACAACAATAACAAAAACAAAACAAAACAAAACAACAACAACAAMAAAAAAAAACAATGAAGGATAGAAAGAACATGAACATATGACCCATAAACTGAAGGAAGGAAAAAAAAAGTAAGCAAAGGTCAGGCATGGTGGCACATGCATGTAATCTCACTGACTTGGGAGGCTGACACAGGAAGACCACAAGTTCAGGGCCACCCTCAGTAACTTAGTGAGACTCTAAGCAACTTAGAAAGATTCTGTCTCAAAATAAAAAAATAAAAAGGGCTAAATATATGTCTCAGTGGTAAAGTACCTTTGGATTCAATCCCTCATACCAAAAAAAAAAAAAAAAAAAAAAAGCAAGCAACAGAAACTGCCTGGGAGTCATTACACTTATCAGGAGACCTCAAAATCTCCAAAATAAGCAAGTTCACAGAACTAAATGACGCCAATTTAAAAAGTAAAGAAAGGTCAGGTGACAATGTTGGATCAAATAGAGAGCATCAACAAAGAGCTAAAATGGTTATTTTTTTTTTAAAGAACTAAATAGAAACTTGGAATTAATGAGTATAATAATTGAACCAAAAAAATTCKCTAGAGGGGGCTGGGTATGTATGTCAGTGGTGAAGTGATTGCCCAGCATATGTGAGGTCCTGGGTCTGATCCCCAACAATACCAAAAAATTTAAAAATAAATCACCAGAGAGGATTAACATTGGATTGAACATAGTAGAAGGAAAAAAAATGAATGAATTTGCCAGGTATATGCCTGTAATCYTAGGGATTCAGGAGACATAGGCAGGAGGATCACAAATTTGAGGCCAGCCTGGGTAACTTAGTAAGTCCCTGTCTCAAAAAAATTAAAAAATAAATAAAAAGAGTTGGATATGTAGCTCAGTGGTAGAATGTTCCTGGGCTCAATCCCCATTACTAGAAAAATAAAAAAATAAAAAAAATAAAAAGAAAGTGGAAAAAATGTAATAAGAAATAATACCTAAAAATTTATCACATTTACTAAAAAAAGAATAACTTATACAATCAGGAAGCCCAACAAAGAGATTCACAAATAGACATCAGAATAAAATGTTGACGTAAAACACAAGCAGAAAAATCTTAAAAGAAACAAAAGAAAAGCTACTTGTTACTTACAAGAAAACCTTACGATAGACTAACAGCCAACAACAGGGACCATACATGGGAAAACATAATGCAAAGTGCTCAAGAAAATAACTGTCAACCAAGTATCCCACATCTAGCAAAACTACTTTATGAAAATGAAGGCAAGAGCCTGGGGTCTATCTCAGTGGTGGAGCACTTGCTTAGTGTGCATGAGGCTCTGGTTTTAATCCCTAGGACCACAAAACAGTGTCACTCTGGCCAGGCGCGGTGGTACATGCCTGCAATCTCAGTGGCTCAGGAGGATCAGGAATTCAAAGCCAGCCTCAGCAACAGCAAGGTGCTAAGCAACTCAGTGAGACCCTGTCTCTAAGTAAAATACAAAATAAGGCTGGGGGCTGGGGATGTGGCTCCGTGGTCAAGTGCCTCTGAGTTCAATCTCCGAACCCCCAAAATATGTCACTCCGAAWGGTTTAAGGTCAGAAAAATAACCCTACTTTGAAAATTCTTAAAGTTTTAGTTATAGGCTATAGACAAAAAGAAGGCTCCTACAAAATGAGATTATCCTGGACTCAAAGCCCTTCTTCTATGTTGTATTTTAATAACTACAAAAATAATTATTTAAAAATAGAACAATTTTAGAAGAACGTGTACAGAAGAATCTGAATCCAAAGCAGCAGTACATGGGAGCAATGGAATTGTTCTGTATCCTGATTGTGGGGGTGGTTCTAGACTCTATGTATGTTAAAACAGTACACCAAAACAAAGACTCACGCTAAATGTTAATTTAATTTTATATTTTTGGTATTGGGGATTGAATCCAGGGGTACTTTATCACTAAGTTACATCCCTAGCTTTTTAAGATTATTTTGTTTTGTTTTACTTATTTATGTGGTGCTGAGGATCGATCCCAGTGCCTCACGTGTGCAAGGCAATTGTTCCAATTGCTCTACCACTGAGCCACAATCCTAGCCCTGCTTTTTTTTATTTTTTAAGACAGCATCTCCCTAAATTGCTTAGGGCCTTGAACTTGTGATCCTCCTGCCCCAGTCTACTGAGTCTCTGGGATTACAAAATCAACTATGTTAACTTTAGTAAGAAAAATTGGAAGAAAGTACACGTGCAATAGAACTAAGTATATGCACTATGTTCAAAACCTATCTAACAGTGCCATCTACTTGGTTAAATATAGGGTAAATGTAAGTTTCATTTCCTTTCTCTTTGGTATAGTTCCATATCTAAAAAGACTTTTATTAATCTTTAGTGGTTTATATTATGAAAAAATGAGTATCTGGAATGTACTTTTTCATTTATTGTTTGTTTTTTTTGGGGGGGTGAGGTACCAGGGATTTGACTCAGGGGCACTCAACCACTGAGTCACATCCCCAGTCCTATTTTGTATTTTATTTAGAGACAGGGTTGCTTAAACACTGAGTTGCTTAATGAATTACTTTTGCTGAAGTTGGCTTTGAACTTGGGATCCTCCTGTTTCAGCCTCCCAAGCCCCTGGGATTACAAGTGTGTGCTCTCGTGCCCAGCTGTACTTTTTCATGTAACACATCCAACAGAAAATTCTAATGTGATTCCCTGATACATAGTCATAAGGTGATATGTCTAAGTTTCCCACTTCATGGCTGCCATCTCAGGTGTCCTAAAAGTTCCTATGACTAAGGCATGGGGGCTGGAAATAGACTAAACAAATGTTTAAGGAAAAAAATACAAGGCATCTTATATATGAGGCTTATACTTTTAGACTCTTATTTTTTTAGGGCTTAYCTATTTTTCTATTAGAGTACCAATAGAACATTTACTACAATAAAATTTGTGATTTGGAAAGTTAACACTGGAACAATATAACAGTGGAAGACAACTCTGCATAAAATAAAGGAGCAAAACAAGTATATACTAATCTCGAATACTTTCGTGTTATAAAAAATTTGGTTACTTCTATTATCTCATTCATAATTCTAGACTTACTCTCACCTTCAGATTCATATTCGCTTGCTTTCTGTTTCAAGTCCTCTATTACCAGGTGGACGTCCCTGTCCCGGACCTTGTTGCGTTCTGAAAGGTGATATAAAATCTCTGTGGTCCGTGGGTTCACCTCATACTGTGGAATAGGATGATCTCCAAATATTTTTTTTAACCACGCAGCGACCTAACCATTAAAAGGAGGCAAATATTAAAAGCCTTGATTGCTGTAATGGCACGACTATGACAAAGAAGTACTCAAAAGCAAACTAAACGCTAAGCCTATTCCGGCATCCTACTTCACAACCTAATTTGTCTTTAGGGGGATATATTAGATGGCAGGATACAAAAAGCAAGCAAGCACAATGACTCGGGCTGGGGCAGGTGGATCACAACTTTGAGGTCAGCCTCAGGAATTTAGTGAGGCTCTGTCTCAAAAGAAAAATAAAAAGTTCTTAGGATGTAGTTCAGGGAAAAGTGTCCTTGGGTTCAATCCCCAAATGACCAGATAAAAATTCATGCCGCCTCACTTTGAAAACCTTAAAGCTTGGTACGCGGTGCAAATGCACGAGTATACACACGCAGGGTCTGAAAACAAGCCTTTGCCCACACACCATAAACCCCGCAGTGTCAGGAGAACCAAGGGTCGGGATGCAGCTCTAGAGGAAAAACTCTAGTAGGAAGCAGCAAAGAACCGCAAGGCTTGGCTGGAAGGTGGGTTTGGGCTCAGAAGTCGCACTCCAGTCCTCCCGGAGGGGGTTTGAGAGGTGGCTGGATCCCAGCAAAAGGGAAGGCCGGAGAAAGGAAACGCCTTTCCAAGGGGTCTCAACAGACTAGTGCTCGCAGATCGGGAAGGCGGTTTAGAGTTTGGGAGAGAAAAAGTAGACAGGGCGTGCACAGGACATCCGTCGGCGGCGTGCATGTGTCAAAGATGAAGTTTCCAGGAAACCGCAAAATCCCGCTCCCGTCCCATCACCTGGGCTTCTTTTTCCTCCCTCGCCTCCATCACAGCGGATCCCGCCACTTCACGCGCCACTCCTCGCGGGAGAAACGCTCCCTCCGAGGGCCCCGCTCACACGCTGTTGTCCCCGCCCCTCATCAGAGCGAGGATTTCTGGGAGTTGTGGTTTTTATTCCGACTCCAAGCCGCGGAGTCCTTGGACTAGGCTGGTCAGGGCTTCACCTCTGCAGCCTCCCCTCCTTGCCACACCTCCCTGCTCTCTCTGCCCTCTGTGGTCTAATCTTCAGGTATAACCCATAACACTGTATTTAACACTATGAGAGGTTCTTTACATAGCGATTTTTAATTTTTTGAACATTTTTATATATTTTTTTTCACTTACAGGAACTCTGTAAAATAGGTAGACACAAATTATTTTATCCATTTTCACATTAAAACACCCACAAGTGGATTAAATGACAACCAAGATTAGGTAGTAGAGTTAGACCTGACCAAAATGTTCTGGTTGTAATTAGGAATTTCAATCTTCATACTGCTGCTAACAACCTCCTATAATGTGTACTGTGTTATTATGAAGTGCAGAGAGCTCAAAGGTCTGTGTAATCAACTTTCTGTGATACTCGATTTAATGTGAAACTGTGGGTCAGACTTATCACCAACTATCTCCTAGATMAATTTTATGCCTATTTTAAATGATTAAGTCTTTATTTTCAAAGGAATCTTACTAGTTAGCCAATACCATATTTTATGGCCTCTGTTTCAAATACAACTGTGCTCAGTAAACTTCAGTAAACTAAGCAAATTTCAGTAAACTAAGTTGGTGCAACCACTATGTATGGAGAAAATGATCTTTATGTTCTTTGTCCTTATTTATTTTTTTACAAAATATATCCCTGCAATTTTGTTTTACATTCCCCCTCCCCCAAAGTACTTTTTTTAATTTTTATTTTAAGACAGGGTCTTGCTATGTTGTCCAGGCTGGCCTTGAATTTGCAATCCTCCTGCCTCAGCTTCCTGAATGCTGGGATTATAGACGTGTGCTACCACACCTGCCTGTATACTGTGTGTGTGTTTAATTTTTTATTTTTGGTACTGAGGACTTAACCTAGGGGCATTTAACCACTGAGTGGCATCCCTAGCCCTTTTTACTTTGAGTTTTGTTAAATTGCTTATGGTCTCTCTAAATTGCTCAGTCTGGGGGGCTGTGGCTCAGTGGCAGAGCACTTGCCTAGCAAGTGCGAGGCACTGGGTTCATTTCTCAGCACTACATATAAATAAATGAATAAACTAAAGGTCCATCAACATCTTAAAAAATAATAATAATAAAAAATAAATTGCTCAGTCTGGCCTTCTCAGGGTTAGCCAGTGCATCCTTAGTCARAGTGATGCTGGGAACCGCTTCTCTGCAGGTTCCGCTACTCACGTGGTCGCCGGGACAACCACAAGGTCGACTGGAAATACTAAAATAAATGTACAATAAATGCTGAGCCGAAGCTGGCAACAGGCGATTCATTCATTTCGAGGGTTCAGCTTAAAAAATAAAAAGAATACTTAAAAAATAAAGAAACCCACCCCTCACGCTCAAAAAAGCAGATTCGCATCCGGTGAAGCGAGGGGCGGTACTTCCGGATCAGGTGGGCCGGCTGCCTTGACCTTCCTCCGCGCTCGGCCATTTTGTCCCAGTCAGTCCGGAGGCTGCGGCTGCAGAGGAACCGCTTGAGCAGAAATCGAAGATGCTGTCCGTGCGCGTCGCCGCGGCCGTGGCCCGCGCCCTCCCTCGGCGGGCCGGGCTGGTGAGCGCCGCGGATTGGAGCGGGGCGGCTCGGTGGGGCGGCAGCGGGTGGTGGTGCGCTGGCTCTGAAGCTCTGCAGCGAGACTGAAGGGTTGTGGCGGACGCCGCCATCTTGCACTGTGGCAGCTCGGCTGGGCGGGTGGGCGAGCGACAGAAGGGCCATTTTGCTTGCCATCCATGCGAAATGGTGCAGAGTGGTGCCRGGGAGTTAGTGACCTCGATGTTGCCGCGGTACGGGTGTCTCCTTAGGATTCTGTCTTGGGCCTAGAGCGGCCGGAGCAGAGGCCTTGGGTGAAGGTCAGAAGTTGGGTGCTAGCTTTCTCAGAGGACGGCTCTGGGGCTCCTTCCGGCTGATTGTCCCCATCTGGTACTCTGAAGGTCAGAGGTCTGCTGTCAGCTCTTGCTGAAGCGAGTCAGGGGAGCCTGACATTGTGAAGGTCAGCAGGACCCAGCATTTTACCACTAGTCGGAGGTCCGTTCAGAGCAAAGCAAACGTTTCTTGAATTCTTCAGAAGCGGTTTGTCACTACTGAATACTGAAACGGTCGTGATTTCAGTATTCAGTAGTGACTGAATGCACAGTAGTGACTGCACATCGTGCAGATGAAGAAAAAAAAATCTTTTTGTGTGGCCAATATATCACAGCAATGAAGCTGGTTTCCAAATTGTTTCAGTTTCACCGAAGACTGCTTTGTGATTCCTTGACGTGTAMAGATTTCGTCCTTGAATTGTTCATCTGGTGGTTTGAGGAATTGTTGGACAGTGTTCAAGAATTCAAGTCTATTGTAAACGCATTCACATTTGCCTCTTTTATCTCAGAAGTAATCTGAATTTGAAAGGTGAAATAAATATACTGGCCATTTTGCTGCCCTAAAACAGCCTGGTAGCTTCTTGGTTTTCTGTTAGCTGCAAAACATTTTTAACTATTTTCTTCTACCTCCTATAGAAGGCAGTAGCTTCAAAATTGACAGTGACCTGAAGATGTGGTGGTGAACATTTGTGCTCCCAATGATTGGGGGGCCTGAGGCAGGAGGATCCAAATTTTAGGCCAGCTTCAGCAATTTAGCTGGACCCTATTTCAAAATAAAAAGAGCTGAACTGGGGATGTAAAATTGGGACCATATTGAGATTTGTTCTTTAGGAAGTTCTGCCATTGAGCTACATTCCAAGCCCCTCTTTAAATTTTTGAGTCAGGGTCTCACTTAGTTGTCAAGACTGGTCTCCTGAGTAATTAGGTACAGGCTGTGCCACTGTCCTCAGCTAGGAAGAAGTTATTAGAATTTCCGCAACTCAAGTAAAATCTAAAGCCATAATAATAGTACCTGATTGCTTTTAAAGGGAAAGATACATATACTTTGTTAATAGCTGCTTTTTAAAATAGACTCCATTTAAAAAGAATTCTTTTATAAAGTGCTAATTGTGTACTAGGAACTTTATTATACACTCAACATATACCTAAAGGTACTTCCTCAACTGAATAATACACTTCAAATTTTAAACAGAATATTTTAAATATACTTTACATTTTTATCAATAATTTGATCAAAATATGTCTGCATTTGTGAAGCTTGTCAGTTTCATGAATGAATATTCTTGCACTAGGTCTCCAAAAATGCTTTGGGATCATCCTTCATTGCTGCAAGGAACCTCCATGCCTCTAATACCCATCTTCAGAAGATTGGTAAGTCTGTGCACCACACTTACCACCTTATCATTAAATGAAAATATAATTTACAAAGATTGTATAACTGTTGGGCTTTTTTTTTTTCCTTTTTCCTGTCATTTTTAGTTACTACAGAATCTCAGATTCTTACACTTATTTGCCTTTTAGCTTTGTCTTGATATAGGTTCTGTTCTACTGAAATGAATTCTAGTTATATATTTATTTATTAGTAMAGCTTCTTTGTTCTGGTAATTCTTGTGCAAAAACAAGGACATTGTAGTAGGTACCCTTTCTGATTTAGGAAAGAGTTCTTTTTCCTCACCTAAAAGCATTAGAAAATAATGAGCAGTTCTTACTGATATGTTTTCAAAGGCAGTGGCCACTCCTTTATACCTGAAAGTCTGAATTTGCAAGTTGCAAATGCAATAGAGAAATAGGGAGGTGAGTATAAGAATATGCTATAGGTTGGGGAATTTCTTTGGACATGTGTAGTTTAGGGCTTTTTGTCCCNTGCAAATGCAATAGAGAAATAGGGAGGTGAGTATAAGAAAAGAATATGCTATAGGTTGGGGAATTTCTTTGGACTAGTTTAGTTTTGGGCTTTCTGTTTTTTTTTTTTTTTTTTTTTGTATTGGGGATGAGCCCTGGCCTGCACATGTTAGGCAAGCACTCTATCACTAAGCTAAATCACCATTCTTTTTTTTTTAATTTGAGTTAGGGTCTCGATAAGTTGATGAGGCTGACCTTAAACTTGTGATCCTCTTTCTTTAGTCTCATGGGTAGCTGGGTTACAGGCATATATCACTGCACCTGTCTAAGTGCTCTGTATTTTATACATATGCTGTTTTGAATCTTTAAATTTCTTTTAATGCTGGGGATCACACCATACATAGCTTTGCACATTCTAGGCAAGTACCACTGAACTAAACCCAACTCCAAGCCATAAAACACATTCATGTTTTGTATGGATTTCAGCCAGAAATGTAGGTTTCAACATAGGTATAGATTCTTTGAAAATTAAACTAGAGGACCAGGTGTGGTGGCACATTTCAGTAATCCCAGCTGCTCAGAATGCTGAGACAGGAGGATCACAAGTTTGAGGCTAGCCTGGTAAACTTAGTTAAGACCCTGTCTTAAAATTAAAAAAAAAAAAAAAGACCCTTAAAGGTCTAGGGTACATGTAGCTCAGTAGTAGAGTGCTTGCTTAGCTTGCTTGAGACCCTGGGTTCCATCCCCAGTACCACAAAAAAGAAAAGTAAAAAGAAATTAAACCAAAATGTTTAGCTTTGTTAACTTCTTGCCTGTTTTACATTTGACTTGTGGAGTACATGGCTTTGAATCATTTTCTTTTTTTATTGGGATGGTGGGTACTGGGAACTGAACTTAGGGGCTTTGGACTACAGAGCCACATCCCCAGCTCTATTTTGTATTTAAAGATGAGTCTCACTGAGTTGCTTAGTGCCTCACTGTTGCTGAGGCTGGCTTTGAACTTGCACTCTGCCTGCCTTATCCTCCTGGGTCAGTGGGATTATAGGCGTGTGCCACTGCACCCAGTTGAATTTCTCATTTTCATAGTGGTCAATATCCAACTTTTTTAGAGTCTTTTGTTACATTTTAGATTGTAATTTAATTATTATGATCACAAAACTTTCTTGTTGAGAAATGGG